TTTGCCATTTTCTTGGTTGGACTTACAATGTAAGACCAGACGCCGGGGAAAATATTAACAGAAGTGCCAGGTCTTTCAAACGTCTGTTCCTTTGGAGGCATCTCAGATCAAGCTAGTTTGGAGAAGCAACACAATCCCTCCACCCCACCGCCCAGCAACTGAGCTCAAAACTCAAAAACAGGGACAGCCCTTGATCGGCTCCTTCTCCCTATCTATTGGCTGGCCTTGCTTTCATGTCACAGTCTAAACCAAAACATCACAATTGTTCCATGACTCCACGGAGCCACCGCCTCCAACTGTCAGAGAATCTTTTTTTCCTGCAGGAAGAAAGACCAAGGAAGGAGTGACCCAGGAGCAACTCCTTCACCAGAACAAGTCCTGCTTCTTGGAATATGCAGGCATCTTTTTGATGGTCAACCCTAACCCATGTTTTTCTTTTCTCAAAGAAGCTGAGTGGCCAGGGGTAACTCTCTCTTTCTCTCTGAATCTTTTGGGTTCTGTTCTCTACAGACGGACCGCCAAGTCCTCTCCATAGAAGATCTCCAGGATATTCATATAACACCTTTTTTTGCTTATTTTCTTTTTGTTTTGTAGGAAAGAACCACATCATACAGAAGAAAGGTGTTCTTCATACCCTTCTCTAAACAGAACTGTGTTTGTGATTCTGCTACTGTCTTAATAATGGTATGACTACCTAATTAATTTGATTCTGACTTAGAATAAGGTGGCATCTAAATGTGGAAGGGTTTGCTGATAGGGTTATCTACATAATAAACTGTATTACTCTAGCCCAGTGGTAGTTAACCTTTTCAGCACTGAGTGCTGAAACTGGAGCGCATGCCGCCCCCCGAAAAGAAACCGAGTGCCGAAACACACATGCATGTATGTCACTGAAAAATGGAAGAGCAGCTCCCAGCGTATGCATGCGCACTGGCTACTTGGTCTTTTGGCTTCTAACGTGCATGTGTGCATGAGCATGCATGAGCGTTAGAAACCAGCCAGCCAGCTGGTCTTTGTGTGCATGCACATTATAAACCAAAAGACCAGGTGGCCGGCCAGTTTCTAATGTGCATGCACGCTGGCCAGCTGGTCTTTGCATGTGCATGTGTGCTGGCCAGTTGGTCTTGGCGCACACATGCGTGTTAGGAACCAGAAGACCAGGTGGCTGGCATGCATGTGTGCACTGGGAGCTGCTCTTTTTGGCTTCCAGTGCTCCTGCACATGTGAAGACCAGCTGGCCAGCGCACACTGGAACCCGGAAGAGCAATGGGCGGTGGCTGGCATGCCTGGAGAGATGGCTCTGCGTGCCACTTCTGATATGCATGCCATAGGTTCTCCATCACAGTTCTAGGCTGTTTCTGTACTTTGCTTTTTCAAGGGAGGCTTGACATTTCCCCTAATTTTTTCATACATTTCGCTGAAGATCTTCATTTTTAGAATGGATTATGATTCGTTAGTACAACGAAGTTCCAGGTGCTCTTTATATTTTATTGATTTGTTTTATGTATTTGTATCCTGCATTTATTGTTTTTACAAATAACGCAAGGCAGAAAACATATCCAACATACTTGCCTCTCCTATTTTCCCCACAACAACCACCCTGCCTGGTGGAGGCCAGACAAGGAATAACGGATGGAAACTGAACAAGGAGAGATTTAACCTGGAAATAAGGAGGAACTTTCTGACAGTGAGAACAATCAGCCAATGAAACAGCTTGCCCTCGGAAATTGTGGGAGCACCCTCACTTGAGACTTTCAAGAAGAGATTGGACTGCCATTTATCAGAAATGGTGTAGGCTCTCCTGCTTGGGTGGGGGGTTGGACTAGATGACCTACAAGGTCCCTTCCAACTCTGATTATCTATTATCTGGTTTGGGCTGAGAGAGAGTAACTGGCCCAAGATCACCCAGCTGGCTTTCTTAGCTAAGGCAGGACTAGAACTCACAGTATCCCAGTGTTTAGCTTGGTGCCTGAATCACTGAACTAAACTGGCTGGTTGTTTTTTTAAAAAAAATCAACAATCCTTGCTTTTAATTCTAATGAAATCTAATAATCAGTACTGACTTATTATTCTCATTCTGATTTCTTACGATTTAAAGCATTTGAATATATTGAAGGATGTTTTTTTCAATGCAATTGAAATCGAACTATACGTTCTCCAGCTCTGCCTTCTAACCAAGGTTTTTGTTTTCCAGCAGCCGGTGATGCGTGTCCAAACAAAAAGTAAGTGATAAAGTTTTTTTAAAAAAACATGTATTCAATTTGGTCCAAAGCAAAATAGACGAAGGACCTTAACTGACTCCAAGCTAGAGATGCATCTCTTTATCTTAGATTCCATATGGTTCTGAAGCCTTACGATGACCTCCAACAGTGACATAGAAACAATGCAAATTTGATTTAAAAATTGGTTTCTTAAGCGAGGGGATAGTGAAAAGATGAGGGTTTTGTTCCATTCATTGACCAGAGTTTCATTGACTAGAAAGGTGGCCATGAAAGCATACATTTCAACATTTCTTTCAAAGGGGAGAAAGGTAGGGATGTTTTTCACCTGAATGGGACAACTTGCTACAGACAACTCATTGCCATGGCCAACTCGCCATTGGGACAACTCGCTGCAGGACAATTTAACAATTTTATTTAATGATTTAAAATAAAGGAAAAAATGTTTTTATTTTTGCCATTCACATTTCATTCTGACCCCCCCTTTTTTTGCCTCTTTCTTTAGTGCAGGGGTCTCCAAACTTGACAGCTTTAAGATTTGTGGACTTCAACTCCCATAATTCCTCCTCTAGTCATGTTAGCTCAGGAATTCTGGGAGTTGAAGTCCACAAGTCTTAAACTTGCCAAGCTTGAAGAGCCTTGCTTTAATAGTTCTTTTTTTTTCTTTTCATTCGATTTTATTTAGTTTGCAAAATTTAAAAACATAAAATAAAACTTTATACATCATTATATCAACATCAAGACATCTTTTACATTTCCTTGTCATCTTTCTATATACACATTTCTTTCATTATACAATTTCAGCTTAATATATAAATAAATATAGATAGATATGAATATAGATATAAGTATTAATTATTTTTATGGGATTATGATCTGCCCATATATTCGTTTCAATTTCTATTTCTTTTATATTATGTTCAATTTCCAAATTTGTCCATACATATCCAGTCTTGACCATGATTTATGTGGTAATGAATAATAAGTATATTGGATTTTTTTTTCTGGATTTCTTTCTCTCCATATATCTTTTAATCCTATTTCATTTGTCATTTGATAGAATATTTTGGTAATGTTTTCCTTTTTTTTAATCCATACTCTTATTGTCTTTTTCTTGATTTACTATCAATATGTGCTTTAATGGTACTATACCACTCCTTTTTTGATATTAGTGTAACTCTTGTCCCTGAGTTTGTCCCCTAGCAGGTTGGCTGTAGCGAGTTGGCCATGGTGAATTGACATAGACCCTGTTTTCACTGGTGGGATATGGTTTTTTTTGCCCACATTGACTTACAAGGTGTCTCCAAGTTGAGGGTGAACGCTTATCCTTCATAAAGCACACCTTGCTCTGGCTTCTTGCCATCTCACCCTTCCTACGCTCCCAAGAAAAATCACCTCACGTGATTTTGATTCTATGCCTCTGTTTATCCAACCAAGGATTGTATTAGCTTTTTTGGCTGAAACGCAGAACTGGCATCCATGTTAAAACGTGTAGCCATTTTCAGCGTTGGTCTTGCAGTCTCTGAAGGCTTCCCATGCTCCCAAGAGGAAAGAGATCTCTTCTTCCCCCGGGAAAACATGGAGATTCCATCTCTCCCATAACATTGGTAAAGAATTTTGAGATGCCACCAGGGTTCCAATCTCATTCCCCATTCTTGGGACAGCTTCGCATTGGGAGGATACCGTGGGAATCTCTCACACCAGTGGTGGTATTCAATATTCTTTACTACCGGTTCTGTGGGCATGGCTTGGCAGGCTTGGCTTGGTGGGCGTGGCAGGGGAAGGATACTGCAAAATCCCATTCCCTCCCCACCCCACTAACCTGCTTTCCAGCTCCATTCTCCCATGCAGGACAACAAAAGGAGACCCAGCGGATCAGCTGGGACTCAGCAGGCAGAGAATAGATGGGGACGGCGGCAGTCTGGTTGTCTGAACAACTCAAAATTTCCGCTACCGGTTCCCCAAAACTTGTCAGAACTGGTTGAATACCACCTCTGTCTCATACTCTGGCCTGTTGCTACTTAGACAGGCCAATCCTGGTGTTAAGAAACCGGAGCAATTTGGTGGAAATGTGGGGGAAAGAAGAAAAGGACATTGTTGGCTTGTTCTAAGTCACCCTTTGGATGTTCTTATAGAAGCGAGCCATTTGTGTTCTTATAGATGTGAGCCAACTCAAAGAAGAAAAATAAAAAGGAGGGATACAAATGTCACGATGAAATAAACAAGTGTTTCCTCCCCACCCCTTCATTCCCCAAAGGCAATCCGAACAACAAAAGCGCAAGATTATTTTTCCAGAATCAGTTTTTCACCAGGATCTTTTCCTGCATGGGTTTGTTCCTTTTGTTCACCACGTTATTCTCTCCATTCTGGCTTACAATCGCCCATTCTAAAACTCCCATCAATGTGGGTCTCTGGAACATTTGCAAGAACCACACCTGCCAGAGACTTGTTGCGAGCACACGTAAGGATTACTCCCATCTTCTTTCTCCTTGCTTTCTCCCTGGGAAATTCAGCTTAGAGATGGATGGCAGGAACCCTTTCTGGGTTGGCAGCCTGGAGTGGAGGGAGGCGGAAAAGAGGGGATGGTTTTGCGGGAGGGCCAGGTAGATGAATGCCCGCATGTGCACGTGAACGGCAGTGCTTTGCACGAATGGGGCCATGAGCGCCCGCAATGCTTGTGGCGATGCATATGCGCACAGATGCACACACTGGCCAGCTACTCACACGGGCCAGTGGCCAATAGGCTGTGTCTCACAGGTTGGGGACCCCTGCTCTAGGGGCATGTATGTTTTCCTAATTCAGTCAGGTGAGATTTCGCCTTTGTATTTTCTTCCAAAGGACAAGAAAATACAGGGCATAATATGTTTAGGTGAGTTGAGATGTGATGGAACTTTCTTCTACTTTTTTTTGGAGTAAAGTGGCCGAGAGCAAATGTCCTCTTCTCCATCACACAAGACTCCCCCTTGAACTTTGCAGCAAGCATTGTATTTAGGAAAGAAAGTGTTCCCTATATAGTTTGTAACTGTCACAGTGTGGCTGGGAACAATATTTCAGTCTCTGTATTTATTGAGCTACATGGTTGAATTTTTTGTCCATGAATGAATAAATAAGATAATCAAAAGGGAAAACTTTTTTTCCCAATTAACCTTTTCGGGAAAGATGAAGAGATTGAAATAATAGAGAACAAAGGCAGATGGAGAATATAGTGGAGTGGGAAACAAACTTACTTTATGGTTCTTTAGGATTAGTTTTATCTACTATTCAATCAGATGGGTTTAAAACTCAGCGTCCCTCAGTATATGGGACCACACTAAGACATGATATTCCTACTTAACGTTTTTCTACATTTGCCCTCTTTTTATCCCCAGAAATCCTTCGGTTGACCAGAAGTTTAATGTCAGTCAGCACAGTCTCTGGGTTAATTGCAGTTGCTTCCGTGCTCTTTACCAAGTCCAACTTAAAGCATTCCAAGTGGCCTCTCTTTACCAATCTTTTTACAGGTAAAGATGGCTCCATGCCATTTATTATGACTTTTTATCCATCCTACGAACAATCTAGGAGTGGTGTCCACCTTCCTTCTTTGAGTTTTTACACTAGAGCAGTGATTCTCATTGTTGGCAACTTTTAAGTTGGGTAGACCTCAACTCCCAGTATTCTCCAGCCAGCATATCTGAGGTGGTTTCAGACCCAATAGATTTTTAACACCTTATAACTGTTACAATTGGTTTGATGTAGTGGTTAAGGTTGCTGGCCTAAAAACCAGGAGACAGTGAGTTCTAGTCCTGCCTTGGGCATGAAGGCCACCTAGATGACTTTGGGGCAGTCCCCCTCCCCCCTCAACCCAACTCACCTCACAGGGTTGTTGTTGTGGGGAAAACAGTAGGAGGAAGGAGTATTATGTATGTTTGCTTCCTTGAGTTACTTAACGTAATAAAGGCAAGATAAGAATCTAATAAATAAGGCTGTTGTAACACCTCTCCACCTAACAAATATTTTGAAAAGCAGAAATATCTGTATATTTACACCAAATACCATATCTACAGGTCAACTGATGTAGGATTTAAATTGAGGGTGAAGGATTGGAAGAGGGGAGGGAAAATTTATGTAGATGCAGGATACATATGAAACAGATTCCAGGTGCCTTTTGGATTAACAATTGCAATGGGTCAAAAGCCCATTTTGATTGTTGAGATCTTCTGAAATTGCCTGAAATGATCAGACCATTGTTTCCAAACCTTGGCAACTTTGACATGTGTAGATTTCAACTCCCAGAATTCCCCAGCTGGCATGTTGAGAAATGCTTCTGTAAGTTAACATGGTCCTCGTCCTACACTGAGTACTCCAAATACACACATTTCAAATTCAGAAAAACCGTATCAAGATTATTCCTTAACCCTAACTTTGAGGCTGTCCAGAGTTAAGCATAGCAGATATATTGTATCTGCAATGGTATCAAACCCTATTCTCCAAGACAGAACAAGAAGCGATGGAAGCAAACTAATCAAAGAGAGATCCAACTTAGAAGTAAGGAGAAATGTCATGACAGTGGGAGCAATGAATCTGTGGAACAACTTTTCTTCAGAAGTTATGGGTGGTTTATCACTGAAGGTTTTTAAGGAGAAACTGGACAAGCAGCCTGAAATGATATAGGGTTTCCTGCTGAAGCAGGGAGTTGGATAGAAGACCTCCAAGGTACCTTCCAACTCTGTTATTCTGTTACAAAACCTTATTGAGGCTCTCAGATAGCATTTCCTTGCAGCTAGAAGAACTGGCTGCATTGGTTCTGTGACCATTGGCTTCAGTGAGAAATATAAGGCAAATGCAGATGGGTTTTCAGCCCCAAGACGTAGCAGAAGTGTCACATCCTGAAGCTGGGGTTGCTGAGAAAGATGGAGAAAAGTAGAACACCCTCAATCCCGAAGGTGCTTTTTTCAAGAGGCAACTGGACTTGGTTCTTTCCTTGAATACTATCTTCAATAGCATCAGTGGTGGTATTCAGCCGGTTTGCACCAGTTCGAGCAAACCGGTAGCAAGGATTTGGAGTGGGTCGCCGAACCAGTATTAACTTTTGGCTGGCCACGCCCCCAACCCGGCCCCCCCGGTCACCACTCGCTCACTTGTCCCGCCCATCCGATGCCCGATGCTCGCTCACCCCATCCACCCGATGCTCGCCCGACAAGTCACTCCTTAAAGTATTTCTTTTTTTTAACCTCCTACGAACGGCTGTGCTGGGATTCCTCTCACTTCTTACTGCTTCACCCAGAAGACTTCGCTGAGGGCTAGGAAGGCAAAAAATGGAGGGAGGGGGCACAGCCCCCCTCCATTTTTTGACTTCCTGGGCCCCAAGGAAGCTTCCTGGGAGCAAAAATGCCCCCCAGAAGCTCCCCTGAGGCCAGGAAGGCCCCAAAATTGGGGGGGGGCTGGGGGGGGGAGGCGGCAAAAAAAAAAACCATGCCCACCCAATCACATGGCCATGCCCACCTGGCCACACCCACCTGGCCACGCCCACAAAACCGGTAGTAAAAAGTTTTGAATCCCACCACTGAATAGCATCACCCAGCTCTGGAGAGTCATGTCAGGTCGAGGCGAATTATGAAAGCAGCTCTGTCATTTCTGTACATGTGACATGACATAGTCATGCAGGGCAATTCCCAGGAGAAAGCAATTATGTTGGAAGAGTTAACGGTAGCAGGAAACCAGGCCATCAAAGAATATAGTGGATGGACACCATCAAAGCTGACACCAGCCAGATGATAGAATGACTCAAAGAAGTTGTGCAAGATCATTAGAGGTAGAGAGAGACCCAGCCCATAGAATCACCAAGAGTCAGTCACAACTGAATGGATAATATCATCATCACCATGAATGGTGCTTTTTCGGGAGGCAGTTGGACTTCAGTTGTTTTTTCTTTTCTTTTTGAAGACGTTTCGCTTCTCATCCAAGAAGCTTCTTCAGCTCTGAGCTGAAGAAGCTTCTTGGATGAGAAGTGAAATGTCTTCAAAGGGGAAGAAAACCCCAGAAAGTCCAATTGCCTCTTGAAAAAAAGCACCTTTGGGACAACCATGACTTGGATGACTGAGAATCTCCACCGACACCCCGTCTTTTTTTTCTTTTGAGTCTCCTTAAGGAATTGGTGGGGTGGACATTTCTCCCCCTCAGGCACCACGTCAGGCAAGGAAGGAGCTGCTTTTAAACCTCCTAGAACTTCTCAGATTGTGCTTGTCAATTCTTGTCCCTCCCTCCACCTCCAGGAATCATATCACTAATCACGATGGTGTTGTACGGCCTGTCCCTTCAATTCAAAGGACTTCTTGGTCATCCTGTTCCAGATATTACCGCACCAATATACATCTCCTGGTGCTTTGTCCTGGGTTGTTTAGCTAGCCTCCTTTTCCTATTGAATGGTGAGTCCACACCCAACTTTCTAACAGCTGAAGGCTGCAGAGAGTGTTAAAGAAGGATTGAGACATATGGATAGAGATGGGTGTAAGCTAATGAGAGAGCCCGGGAATGCAGCCGTTTGACAACGGCCACAAGTGTGTTTGTGTGTGTGTATGTGTGTGTGTTTGTGTTTGTGTGTGCATATTAAGAACTGAGACATAGAATGGATTATTGCTACAGGGGCAAAACTCTAGAACAAAGATGGCAGCTCCTGCATTTAGCAATTTAATTGGCAGAGTGGCATTCTTGTAAGTGAAAGGAAGCCTGGTTGCATTTATTCAGTTGAACCAATAAATGGATATTTCCTTGGAGGAGAAAGACAATTGTAGAGGGGGAAAAAAAGCACTTGAAGGTGGGATGGGTGATGGAACTGAGTAAATCATATATGGGTCTGCTTCATAACACTGGGCCTTCACTACAGAAGCTTTAAGATGGGTGGACTTCAGCTTCCAGAATCACCCAGCTGGTATGGTACGTTTACGTATAAGACTAAGCCATAAACTACTACAGATAGTCCTCAGTTTACAACAATTCATTTAGTGACTGTTCAAAAAAAGTTGAAAAAAGTGACATATGACCGTTTTTCACATTTATGACCACTGCAGCATCCTCATGATTGTGTGATGAAAATTGTTTGGCAACTGACTCCTACTTAAGACAATCGCAGTGTCCTGGAGTCCTGCAAGGTTGACTCAGCCTTCCCTCCTTCCGAGGTGGGTAAAATGAGGACTCAGATTATTAGGGGCAAGAGGCTGACACTGTAAACCACTTAGAGAGCTGCAAAGCACTGTAAAGTGGTATCTAAGTCTCAGTGCTATTCCTATGTGATCATCTTTTGCAACCTTTTGACGAGTGAAGTGAATGGGTGAAACCAGATTCACTTAACCGCAGTGCTACTAATTTAACAACTGCAGTGATTCCTTTAACAACTGTCGTAAAAGGGGGCAAAACTCACGGAACCAATGTCTTACTTAGCAACAGAAACTTTGGGCTCAATTGTGGTCATTAAGTCAAAAGATGAGCTGTATTGGTAAATCACAACAATGAGGGACTGTATCACACTAAGCCAATGAGATGCTATCTAGGGACTTCTGGAAGTTGAAGTTCATATTAAAGTTACTGAGGTTCAGAAACGCTATGATTAGCCAAAGGTTTGCAAATCACATCCCCACACAACACAGATGAGTTGTGGGGGGGGGGGAGTGGGGGAGGGATATGAGGAAATGAAACAACAATGTTCCTTGTGAACATGAAGCTCAAAAAGGATGGACATTCTCAAGTGCTTTGGCTGTTTAGTCACATCACATGTTAGAGGAGAATAGAGTAGAGTAGAGTAGAGTAGAGTAGAGTAGAGTAGAGTAGAGTAGAGTAGAGTAGAGTAGAGTAGAGTAGAGTAGAGTAGAG